CTCCCCTCTGCCTCCCTGGAGCGAAGACATGCCTCTGAGGTACACAAAACAATGCCAAGTTCTCAGAGCCAGGGTGCCCAGCAGCCTCCATCTGCTCACCCACTGAGTTCAAAAGATGGGTGAGGGCTGTGAGTGCCATGGGATATACGCTGAGAAAGACAACAACTCACAAAGCAAGACTGCCGTGGCATAGGTACAGAAGCAAGGAGTGCCCATAACACACCTATACACTGGGGGTGGGAAAGAACCAGATATGCCAGGAACCTGTTTAATCCTGCTTCCCCATGGCAGTCCCTGAAACGGAGGGCTCATACCAAGTCACCCACACATGATGCTGTACCCCAAGCTCCAGGCAGAGAATGAACTCTTTAGAGGTGTAACACAGCTTACTCTGGTCCCCCTGTTAAGATGTCTTCAGTCTCAAGTATCCGCACATGACGGACCAGTGTCCCCAGCCACAGCTAGAGGGTCACGGCGCTTCTTAACGTCAAAGTTTATGGCAGAAAGAAAGAGGTGCATAATCCAACTGCAAAGTGGCTGGAAAAGCCCAGAAAGAGAACAAATTCAAAGCTTAACTTTAAAATAAACGAACCGATGGGTGGAGTCAATAGATTCCCTTTAAAAAAAATAGTCCCATTTGTTTGTGTTCTAGATGGGGTTTTTTTGTTCCTTAGGTAATGAGCTGTCCCAAAGATAGATCTGCTTCAGCCATTTCCGTGTCGATGAAATGAAGAAGGCAAACAAATCTTTATCAGCTCATCTAAAGTTTACCCTCTGTGCCAGGTACTACATGTACTGGGGACTTTTACATGTACTGTCTGACACAGTTTGATGGCTCTTAGTTTAGAAACGCGGTTGCTGAAGGTCACACAGCCTGGAAGAAGCTGATTTGATAGGGTTGGTTAATACCACTCTAAACTCTACCCCCTCACTCCACCCTTGCTTCCCTGTAAACCAGTCTTACGCTGCTTCCGAAATCTGCTTTCTGAAGTACAGAACCTCCATGTCACTCTCAACGACCTCTACCCTTTCCGCAGCTTGCTCCTGTCCTCAGGGTGAAGCCCAAACATCTTCAGAGCAACTCCCCACACCCTCTGAGGGACTTCTGCTTTTGTCTTTCCTCCCATTTCCCTCACTCTGCTCCAGTCTCCTAATGGAGTCCTCTAGTGATGCTGCAGATCCTGATGCTGTAGACCCTGATTCTTCCACAATACGGCGCGTGCCCCTTTCCTCTCTCTCGGAGCCTGGTCCCTGCTTCCCTGCTTCCCTGCTTCCCTGCTTCCCTGCTTCCCTGCCCTGAGAAGCACAGGCTTGGATGGCACTGACTCTAGCCATGAGGAGGAAAGTCCTTTTTGCTACTTCTTTTTCTCAGATAGTTCAGAAAGAACCTGATCCAAGCTAGGTTGTCTTCTACGCTTTCTCATTTGTCACTTTCTCTATCTTTTGCACAGTGAAAGATTGGGCTTTGGCAAGAAACTTTCAGTAAGCCACAGGACTGAGTTTGAATTCAGTGCACTTTTTTTGCTCCTTTTATTTATTTGTTATTATTTGTGGAATTCTGTTGAAACACATGCACAACTCTGGGTGTGCATGTGTGTATGTGTGTGTGTGTGTGAACAACAGTCATCCTTTATAGAATTAATTTGTGAGAGCAAAGGAAATGAAGGAGGGAGGAAGGAAGGGCCTACTAAAGACCCCAAACTAAGTAGGCATCAATAACTTGACAAATGGCTCTTCAAGTGATAAGCACGGGCTTAAGGGTATGTGTGGACACAATGACACACTGTAAAGGGGATTCTGAGTGGCATCTAAGTCCTTGCTTCAGAAACCTTGGAGCACTGCTGTGTGTGTCATTACCTGTGTGGCTGGGAGAATGACATTTTGTCTCAGTTTATTCACCTGTAAACGAAAGAATAAACTCAGGGTAAACAGAGATCTGCTTTCCTCCCACAGACAAGACCTTCTCATGCAGGACAATGACAGCAGCCTGTGGGAAAGGAGCTGTCAGGGGAACTGATCTCAGAGGTCAGAGGTCAGAGCTTCAGAATCTCCCTGCAATTAACATCAAGTTGATGTTTCTCATTCTCCCGTGTTCTGTTCCATTCTCCCTTCACCCTTTCATATTCCCTCCCCAAATAAACTGCTGAGAAAGGAGTTACATTATATTCTCTTAGCAAAGCACCTATTCATAATAGGTATATCCATGGACACACATACAAATATCTGTTTCATGATTCTTAGACATAAGAAAAGCTCAAGAATGGTAGTTGATTTCAGGATAATAGTACTATCGGACAGGGAAAAGGGGCTCTTCAGGAACAATTCGGCCTTTCTTGTAAGAGACGAGGGACCTGGAGTCAGGCAGCCCACAGAAGTTTCAGGAGGTGGTCTAGGCTAACAAGGAACTTAAGCCATGGCATATGCAGATCAAACCTGCTTCCTTCTAATGCCTGTGGATAATAGGAAAAAGGAAAAGAAACACACAATTCCAGAAGAAACTACCCCTATTGCTTAAGATTTCACACACACACACACACATTTAACAATTGTTCTAACGAGTAACTTGTACATAATATATAGTGATTGTAATTGCCTGGTACAATGTTTTGCTTGTTTAAAAAAATGGCCTGTGTCTTAGGGTTTTTGTTGCTGTGAAGGAACACCATGACCATGGCAACTCTTCTAGGAAAAACATTTAATTGGGGTGACTTCGCTTACAATTTCAGAAGTTCAGTTCCTTATCATCATGGTGAGAAGCATGGCAGTGTGCAGGCAGACATGGTGGCTGCAATAGCTGAGAGTCCTACATCTTGCAGGCAACAGGAAGTCAACTGAGACACAGGGAAGTATCCTGAGCATAGGAAACCGCCCCCACAGTGACACACTTCCTCTAACAAGGCCAAAACCACTCCAACAAAACGGCGCCTCCTAATAGTGCCACTCTTATGAGATCGTGGGAGTCAATTACATTCAAACCACCACAGCCTGATTCCTGTCTTGGGAAATATAGTTATCATTATATGTGACCTGGTTACAAGCAAAATTACTAGATTTACAGATAAATCAGAATGCACAGAGTTAAAAAAAAACTTTAGCCAAAACTTAGGAGATTTAAAATCAGCATCCTGTCCTTCATGTACACATGCCTGTGTGCACATGTGCATACATGTAGCATCACACTAGAAACCACTGAGAAATAGCTCATGGGACAAAAAGCTTGATGTGGAGAATAGGACATGGCTGCTGGGGAGATGAATCTTAATAAGGCTTAAAATGTAGCATCAAATCATATTAATCACAACAACACCCCTTTACAGTCTTCAGATCCCAGTCACCATCAAAGGCCTCAGCAGCTCTGAAACGGCTCCAGCTCTGACCAGAGGCTAACGACCCATCAGTGGGAAAGGGGAGAGATTGTAACTTGAGTCAGATGGGGAATGACTGCGGCACAGCTTCTAGGCCAAGACAGCCTTCTTCAAATATAAGATGTGTAACTGCTCCGGAACGCGTGTGCCCTGACCATCCCTCAGGAATGTTTTTGCAAGGACTCTGCATGGGGAGATTAGACCAGCTAGCCTCAACCACAGCATTCCTCCCAGCCTAGGGAGTTTTACGGCTTGTAGCAGGAGCAAAAAACTGCATGTATTTCACACAGGAGTAGATCAAATTATTCCATTTCCTTTCTGGGGAAGAACACTCTAGAGTAGAGAACTGCTGACCAGGATTGAGTCCCTCAAGGGGGGGAAATGTGTTGATGTATCTATAACCTTGGTGACCAGATGTCATGGTTATTCAGTGCACCATCCCTTACCATTCCTGCCGCACAGACAACAGCATCTAGCCAACCCCCAAAGTCTAGAGACAAGTGGCATGTGGTCAGGCAGTCAAATCTAGGCTACTGTGTGCAGGTGGAGAGAGTGATGGCCAGACCTCCTCACGTGTGTTATGCTGCCGAGAGCAGGTGTGAACCTCCTGCCTCCCAATCCCTGGAGCCGCTCTCACAAAACGCATGCTACGGGAACATGTGACTCACTGAACCAGAGTTATGAGAAGCAGGAACCAAGAGTTCATGGTCAGGGAATTCGCCTGCACACTGCCTGGAACACTCCCCACACCTCAGTACACACTTGAACGGCCGGGGGAGTTTGCAAGAGGTAGAGAGCTGAACCCCACGGGTCTCTACTCAGAAGTCTCAGGTTCAGACTCAGAATTTACACTTTGGATATCTAGCAGTTGGCATTGACACTGTGGTCAGTAGAACATAGCTTGAGTTCACTGCCTAGTTCCAAATCACCAAAGAACTCAGCTACCATGGTGAGAAGTTCCAGAAATTATCTCAGTGATCTCTCCCCTTCTGACTTCTGTGCCTTTGCTGGCCACCCACTCCTCTTTTTGTGTAAGCTGATCTTCTCTGAGGAGCACCCCAAATGATTGCTATGTCATAGGGGGCTCTGGCAGATGTTGTCTTATAATGGACACAATACACAAAGCTAATGGGTACCACCTCTCAATTTGATTATGGTCTCTTTTGCTTGGTCTCTCTCTTTGCCTTTCTGCCTTGCTCACTCTGATGATGGGAGTTATCAAGGGATGGCCTGGTCTACATGGCACCAGCTGTGGCTAGCTTCTGGCCAACAGCCAGCAACCACCAAGCCAACTCCTGCCAACAACCTTGCGAACCAGTTAGAAGCAGTTTCTTCTCTAACTGAACCCAAGGTGACTCCTCCCCCGACCAACACCTTGGCTGCGGTCTTGTAAGCCATCCTGAGCCTGAAAACCCAGCGAGGTCACACTTGGATCACTGCCCTTCAAGCACAAGGAGATGAATACTCAGTGTTGTTCCAAGCCACTTGATGTGGTGTGTGGTTACAGATAACTCACAGAGGTGTTTTATAAAGGAACCACTCTGAAGGAATACAGCATCTTGGTATTTGATCCATACTTCAAGCCGGTCGGTTAATCTCCCCCTCCCCCATGATAAAGAAGGCAAAAGGCATATATAAATGTAAATAGCCAATATTTAATGATATACACTATTTACAATTAATGTATGGCATAATTCTCAAGCCTCAGCCCTGGGGCAGTTTCACTTGATTCTCTGGAAGGCTGCACAATAGCCCTGCTTCCAGGTAGAATGGAGAATACGGGTCCCAGTTAGACCTCTGTGCCTTTCACCTGGTCCTCCTGGGGCTACGTTCCTTGAGCTACAACTATGCTGAATTTCTGTGCCTGTGGTCCCTATGAGCATGGAGTACTGACTCCTTTGGTTCCTCCACTGGAACTGAAGAGTCTTTCCCTGAGAACACTGATGAGGGCACCAGGACGGGCCTGCTAACCTTTCCCCCAGCACAGTGCCGGCCTTCCTCACTGTCTACAGAGAGAAGGCATCTGTCTGTGTAGGAGTTACAGTGACCTGGGCGGAGATCCAGAAGTGAAGCATGGGGCCAAGATGCTCCTCCCAGAGCACCTCTCCTTCCGGGCGTTGCTGCTCTTCCCCATAAAATGAGGGGAAAGCTTGAACCCTCCCAGTCCAGATCTAAGAACTTGGGTCAGACAGGCAGCATCTTGCCATGGCAAAGTGGTCAGAAAGAAGATAGATTTCTTCAGAGGGCCAGGCTCCCTCCACTGAGCCACCGTGCCCTCTCTGAGGAACACCCCAAGGGATTGCTGTGCCACAAGGGACTCTGGCAGATGTTGTCTAGTCTGTTCTTAATGGTGTCCTGCAGCTCCTCGTCACCCAGCAGGACCGCAGCTGCTAGCGCCAGCAGGAAGTATTCAGTAGCATCGTGAGCATCCTAATCCCATGGGGCAAAGAAGAGACAGACACATTAGCAGCACTTCCAGGGCAGCGTTAAAGTCTATGCTGAGAACAGTAATACTTTTTCAATTACTACTTCCCCACATCCCAGGGCCTCATGGAAGTTCTTTCCCCTGCTGTACTCTGGCTCCAGTGGCACCATCAGTCATGGTACCCCTCCTCCTTGGGCACAGAAGTGGCATCTTCCCCATGTCATCCAATCGTGACACAACATTGCACTGGACACAGCATTTGAACCGTGTTTGCGTGACCCCAACCCACAAAAGGACCCAACAAGGAACACTGTCCATGTCCTTTTGGAGATGGGATGTGGCAAGGAGTGAGGCCAGGAGACACAGAGAAGTAGGAACACACCATGTCAAGAAGGAGATGAGAGGAATCCATGAAGCTAGAGGCAAAACAGGGTCCAGAAGAACCCAAAACTAAGTCTATGCTTCAGCTTCCAGTTACAACTGCTTCCAGTCGTTCAAGGTTTTTCCCTTTGCAATTCCTGGAGTCCTTGGCTGATGCAACCAGGTGGCACATTCTCTGTCCCTGAGCCACTTGCCGTGGCACTAAGTGGGCCTTCATTCGCCTATCCCTCTCTACACAGTGGGATGAGAAACAGATGCTTCCTCAGGCAAAAAGAGATGCAAAGGATGCGAAAAGAGACACCTGGTTCTCGTTATCCTGTATCATTATCTCAGGCCAGCATCACAGTTTCACCAGTAAGGTCAGCAGAGCCGCCCTGAGTCTCCCTTTGAGGTCAAAGTTAGACAAGACTCACAAGCCACTGCATTAGGAGATTAGGGGTTATGCTGGGGTGACAAGGACCTTTGGAAGGGGGAAAAAACTTAAGGGTACAATTTTGGGGTCAGAGTTGTGACAGGGCTGCAGGCTACCAACTTACTTCCAGAAGGAAGGAACTGGGTGCTGTAGATAGAACTCCAGGAAGAGAATCAAGACAAGAACTTTCTTAGGGTTTAGAGATCCTTATATCCTAGGTTCCATATATGATTATCTCAAACATACTTTAATGCATGTGTGTTTCTTATACAAGGTAATTTCCTACAAAATGTGGGGCACTAACTTAGAACATTTGATAGACTTCTCCAGTGAGGCTTAACAGAAAAAAAAAAAAAAAAAACTCATGTTCCCAGTAAGACCACCCCTTCATTCATAGCCTCTGAATGAAGACCGATCATCTCAGTCCACTGGTCCTCTCACCTCTGTTCCAAAGTCCCCTTACTATCTTTCTCAGCAAAGAGCGGCTGAATGGGTAGCTCCCAAAAGTCCACCATGGAAGACCAGTTCTTACCTTCAACTGGTAGAAAGTGAGACGGCCCAGGCGATAATACACCTTGGCATAGTACAGAGCCTCCCTGGGACTCTGCAGCCATGCTGGGCAGAGGGACAGAGTCCTCAGGTAGCAGTCTTCAGCCATCTCATACATGTTCAGAGAGAAGTACACAGTAGCCAGGCGGTGAAAAGCCACCAGCTCCTGCTTCTGATCTCCTGGGAATTACAAGAGTAAGGGGAAGTCCTGCAGTCAGCACTGGGCATTACTCACTCATTCAGCCCAGAAGACTTTCTGAGACCACTAGATGTCACAGACGAGGAGCATCAGAAAGAGCACAGAGGAGGTCCCCCTGCCCTCGTGGGCTCAGTGTTTCAGAATGAGGAACTCCTTAAGTGATCCCACAAATAAATAGATCATTGCGCCCATGGAGCGTGCTACCAAGAGAGCCACAGAAATGCTGAGCTGTCCGATTTCTGGAAGAAAATGTTCTCTGTGCTGCTGATGATACTGTAATTCAGTACTGGGGGGGGGGGTTGCTTCTTAAAACCTGTGGTGATGGATTGTGATGAGAGGACAAGCTTAATTAAGCAATTAGGAATGGCTTCCAGTGAAGAACACTGGGTAGCAGAGTCCTTTCCACATGAAGTTTCTCCAGAAAACCCAGTGACCTCCCAGCTCCTCACCAACTCTCCGTTCTGAGGACTACAGAGTGCCATTCTCTTTCAGTCTAAGCTTTCATAGAAGTGGCTTTGTGTGCATCTGGGGCTTGAGGTGTTTGAAGTTTGTGTGAGTTCATGCTTTTAATAAATGACCATTTTAATACAAAGTCCTTTTATTAATACAGAGAACAAAAGCTCCTCTTCCAGTCCTGTCTTTGGAATGCTTGCAAGGTAGCTATTTGATGACATCTTTTAAAAAAAAAAAAAAAAAAAAAAAAAAAAACCTTTAAAAAAAACTCTTAAACTTCAAAGAACCAAAAGTCAAAATTATAAAACACACACACACAAAACAAAAAGAACCCACAATCCCAAAGAGAGAAAATTCTCTGTTCTGAGAGATGTAATTACACACACACACACACACACACACACACACACACACACCTGTGTGAGGTGAGGGCAGCCTCCTTAAGCTCCATTCCAGGAAGCAATAGAGACAGAGTACTCTGACTGAACTGCCCAAGGTCCCTCAGGCCCTTCCTGAGGTCAGAGACAAAGCTCTGATAAGCTTTCGTGCAGTTGAAGAGGAGAAGGGCAAGGGTCCTCTGGCTCAACAAACAGAACCCACCACCCTCCTGGACCGGTTGACCTTGAAAATGGCTAGAAGTCCTTTCTAGAACCACGGAGGAGGTCTCCATCCACTCCAACATCGAATCAAGGCTTCTCTGATCCACACAGCTTTTCCTGAAGTACGCACACTCAAGACTGAGTTTGTTTTCAATCATTTTAATTCACCCTTCGCTCCCTGCCAATGGCTTCCACTATTTCCCACTAGCTTTCCCCGTAAGTGAAAGCTCTTTCAACTGTGTCCTGAGTTAGGGTGATGGGAACCTGACCTTCATTTGTGTTTCTGCTCAATGGGGAAAATGTGCTTTTGCCTAACTATCAATCAATTTAAATTTGGTGAAAAGGTCTTTATGTGATAAAGATGTTACATATGCTTAGACTAAAGTACCGTTTGCCTCATGGGGGAATATTACCAACTGTGATATAATAGTTAGCATTGGTAATTGACCTCAGAATGAGGACTTGCACCCCTCACCCCATGCTGCCATGTTTATAGACAACCATTGCTCTTCGTAACAGAATTGGATAGACACTCATTTTGAAACCTCTGTTGATGAGGAACAAAATTTGTGGAAATTAAATCTTGCTCAGTTACAGTTCTGATTGCTGAACCTGGGATTAGAACCTCCAGAGCCTGAGTCCGGAGCTGGTGCCTGCTGCCTCACTAGCAATGCCTGCATAGTTCTTGTTCCTCCCGCACAGGCACCTATGGGATAGGATCACCTACCTGTGAGGACACTCAGCCGGGCAGCCAGGGTGGCAAATTCCAAGGCTTTCTCATAGCCCTCGAGGCTGATCTGTAACTCTGTCAGTTTGTTGAAGATCCGTAGCTCGGTTCTCACCGCCTTCATTCTCCTCGCTAAAGGAACGGCCCCAGCCTGAGAACCAAGACACGGCAATCTTAATCCACAGACACACCACACTCTACAGGCCTGGCTTCTCCTGGAGGAACTGGGGTGACCACTGGGCTCCCATTGCTGCCTTTTCTCAGCTGTTCTACTCTTGGTGTATTACCTAGGTATAACTGGAGGCCATCGAACCTTCTATAATAGGGGGCAACTGAAAGCAGAAAGGAAGTCAGCTTCCTAATGATGAGGATAGGAGATAAAAAAAAATTGACTAGGCAGGGCCCCCAAAAGTGAACAGTTCCATTCTTGCCCTTAGCCAGAAGCAGGGCATGTCATCCTTGTCTCCCAGCCAGGAGGCAACTCTGGCTTGTCACTTCCTGAATGAGTATCTATCTGGGGGCCATCTTAGGGGTGAAGACTTGCAGGCACTAATCCCTTCCGGTGAACAACTCTGCAATGGAATCTCTAGATTTTCATGGTGAAAATGGGATATATCCACTCCCCAATTAGAGCCCAATCCTAAATGATTTCAAGGTCTCAGCTCTTAGGAGGAAATGGCCATTGAGAATGCCAAGGCTCTGCTGAGGCCCCACTAAAGAATGGAATCTACCTCTAGCCCTGGATGAAGACACGACATCCTAACCTGCTCCACAAACTAGGGTATTTCAAACAGAGTTAATCCATCTGAGCCCATCAGTCCTCCTCACCCCCCTTAGTGAGCTAATGTACTTTCCCTTCCCAGGAACCCTGCCCCCAGGGCAGCCACCTGGAGGTCTTCCCTCAGACTGCCAAGCCTCTGCCAGGTAGTCTGGTCACTTTTCTGAGTCCTAATTCAGAAGAACATAATGTTTCTCTCTTCTCTCTCTCTCTCTCTCTCTCTCTCTCTCTCTCTCTCTCTCTCTCTCCCTCTCTCTGCTATTGGGAAAACTTGGACTTACTACTTACTTCTCCTGGGGCTCTGATCTTTCTCAATCTTTCAAAAAATCAGGCCCCTCCTCCTCCACCACCAGGCCCCTCCTCCACCACCAGGCCCCTCCTCCACCACCAGGCCCCTCCTCCACCACCAGGCCCCTCCTCCACCACCCGACTACTTCCAACCAGCATAATTTTCTCTCCTCTTTGCTTTCTCCTCCTGGTGCTGCCAGGATTTACAGCTTGCCTGTCTTGTTTTTCTGTTAAACTTTAATAAAGTTGTCTTTGAGCTTCTTTCTAGGTCCATTTTCACTTTCTTTTATTAGCACAATTAATAACTCAAAAGAGGGAACTTCAGTTTCCCCAATAACATAAGGCACCCAATGTGGGACTCCCCAGAATGTCTAATAACTCTGAGGTTCCCTGGGGAGTCATTTATGGCCACTGATATATGGAATACCTAAATGAACAGGTGTCTGAGGATCTTCAGTAAACAATGCTTTCCACTGTTTTCATAATGCTAGAAGTTTAAGCATGTCACTTCATATCTTTAAGCCTTAGTTTTCTTTTTAATTTATTCATTTTTATTTTATGTGTATGAATGTGTGCCTGCATGTATGTATGTGCACCACATGCATGCAGTGCCTGAATGTGCCAGAAGAGGATATTAGATTCCCTGGAATTGGAGCTGCAGGCACTTATGATCCCCCATGTGGGTGCTGGGAACCAAACACAGGTCCTCTACAAGAGTAGCAAGAACTCTTAAACACTGAGTCATTTCTCCAGTCCAAAGACAGACAGAATATATATATATATATATATATATATATATATATATATACACACACACACACATATATATGTATGTATGTATGTCTTTCGAGACAGAATTTCTCAGTAGCCAGTCTAGTTCCAACTCACTCTGTAGACCAGGCTGGCCTTGAACTCACAGAGATCCGCCTGCCTCTGCCTCCCAAGTGCTGTGATATTAAAGGCGTGTGCCACCACCACCTGGCCATAATCTTTTTATTACCCACAAAACCCATATGAAAATAAGTATCTTGATTGTCAGTAATGTGTTTCCTACTCTCCCACCTAGTCTCATTTTTCTATCTAATCATGTATGGTGAAAAAGCAAGCAGCTGAGCAAAGATTGCACCCCCAAACAAGCAAAGTTTTAAGACCAAATATTTCCCAAACATCAGTCAGGTGACTAACAGCAATTCATGTATCTGCTAGACCTGGACATTTATTTAATTAGTATTGTTCACTCTCTTAATTTTCTTGCGTCATCATTTGAAACAATAACTGTAAAATCGTGATTTGATGAGCTGGAGTCGTGCATCCTAATTGCTAAATACACTTTAATACATGCTTATTAGAAGCACACTAGCATGTTTTTTAGTGTCTGTGGTGGTGTGAATGAGATGTCCCCCAATAAGTCTCAGGCATTTGAATATTTGGTTTCCAGTTGATGGCTGTTTGAGGAGGACTAGGAGGTATGGCCTTACTGGGGGTAATATGGCCCTGAGAGTGGACTTTGCGGTTCCCAAAGAGTCACCATTTCGAGTTTGTTGTCTCTTGTAGTTTGCGATGTGAGCTCTCAGATGTCACTGCTCCTGTGCCTGCCTGTGGTCACATTTCTCTATTATGACGTTACTCATTCCTTTGGAACCACAAGGCCAAAACAAACCCTCCTTTCTATAAGTTACTTTGATCATTGTTTTATGCAGCAATAGAAGAGGTAGTCAGAACAATGTCTACCGTTGCATCCCTTTAGATCATCTTCCGTAATGCTACATTAGTAAGAGAACATGGATAATCTATGATTGCTACCACTGTAATGTGCTGTACACACAAAAGACCTAATTGAGGTTCATACCTCAAGCCAAAGAGTAACTAAGTTCATTTGCTAGGTTAAAGATGGGGTGAAGACGTGGGTGCTGGACAAGGAAGACATCTGTGCCAGGATCTGGTTCAGCACAGGAAGGCCATGGCTTACCCGGTAATACTCTACAGCACGATGCCTATGGCGGGTCCCATTGAAGAAAACATCACCTGCTTCTTCGTAAAGCTTTAGAGCAAGGGAGGGTTCCTCTAACCTCAAGGCTGTCTGGATGGCCGCCTAGTGAGACAGAAATGGCTGTCAAAGGCAGAGAAAAGATCATGGAGAGCTCTGTGAAACAAGCAGGGGGAGCATCCAGGTTACCTAATCAGAATTCTAGAATACCTAGTCATCGTATGGACTTGGCCTTCACCCATGAGGCTGGCAAGAAGACTCCGATGCTCTGTCTGGAAGCCCCCCTATGTGGGAGGAGAAGAACATTCTTCTGATGGGACTTGGGGAGATCTTAGTAGCACACAGATAAACAGTCTGTGCTTCCACAGCTAAATGTTTATTCTATTATGCTTCAGGAAAACCATTAAAAATGAGTCAAGCCAGTGATTTGAGACATTATGTAAAGTTATGTGTTTTTAAAGGGTTGGTTTGAAGTTGAGTCCAAGAAAAATAAATAAATAATGGTTCAGAGGGTGAGTGGATTTAGCAACGGCACCCACTTAATGTATAAATGACTGAGTTTGGGAATGTGGGATCCATTCTGGTGAGGAAAGACAGCAAACCTTGGAACACATTCGCAACTCCTCCAAGCTCTCGTCCCTAGTTAGTAGCAGCAAACGCTCTGTGTTGGGTGCCCCTCCCTCAGTAGCCACGAGCTCTCCTCTCTCAGCTCTCAGCCAGCTTAGAGAGAGTACAGCCGCCTCCCCAAGTGGCCAAGACAGGAGCCCACCCCAACCCACCTGCAAGTACAACTCCACCACTTCGTCCTCCTGCATGAGGTAGTGCAGACGCCCAGCCCCCAGCCAGGCCTCAGCTGCCTTGTCTCTCTTCCCTAGGTCAACGAATATCCGCAGACTCTCCTTGATGCAGGTGAGGGACCTCCTGAGGGACCTGAGGACAGATGCGTGGACCTGTGAGCTTTGGAGAATCCAAGGGCTCTGAGGTCACTCAGCCCAGGAGGACTTGGGCTTCTAGAAGAGAACAAGCTTACTGCAGACCACAGGGAGAGCAGGGCCTGGTGTGACCTTGAGACAGTGTATTACCTACCTGTGCCTCTGTTTCCCCATCTATAAAAGGGGAACGTAATTGCCCTGCCTTTGAAGATTAATGTTACGACTGAGAAACATAATACATCTGGAATGCTCAAACTAGTACCTATGAATTAGTAAGTTGACGAATATCTAAATAGTATGACCACCATTACTAACCCGCAACCTTTAGACTACGTTGCTGTGTGTTTTTCATGGGCACCCTAGAAGACACCAGATGTACCTTTATGAAATTAATGCCTGAGTTCCATCATGCTAATGTGCAGTGGGAAAGATGAAATCATGAAGCTTTTGATGTTTCAATAAGAGAAATCAAAATGGACAGAATTTCTTGAAGTTGGTATTTAATCCTGCTTTAATTATTTGGAAATTCCTTAATTAATTGCTACACTTGAATTATTTGGGGGCAAACATGTCACGTAGACTATGCAATTTCTCCATGACAGCCATTAATGAAAAACTGGGATGTGGATGGCGTGGTGATGCAGACCCAGAGTTAGAGAGCAACAGGGCACACTGGGCACCCTCTATGCCACAGATATTACCTCCAGCAACATGGAATCACGTGGGAGCTTTTAAAACAAACGCATGCACCATGGTATGTTAAAATGTCACACTGGCTGGAGCCCTGGGCAATCTCAGGCAATCTGGGTTATAACCCAGGCACCAGAATTTTGTCATAGCCTGTGTGACTCTGCTGTACAGCTTGGCACAGCTCTATACCAAGGCCAATCTGTTTAGGCTCTAGAGCACTGGTTCTCAACCTGTGGGTCCTGATCCCTCTATCTCCAAAACTATTTGCATTACAATTCATAGCAGCAGCAAAATGACAGTAATGACGTAGCCAATGAAAACAATTTTATGGCTGGGGAGCACTACAACATGAGGGACTGTATCAAAGGGTCACAGCCTTAGGAAGGTTGGGAGCCGCTGCTCCAGAGGAAAACAGCCCCAAAGATGGAAAATGACTTCACACGGCTGTGCAACACACCAGGAGCAGATCAAAAATCAGAGCTTCACTCACAATTTTGAAAGTCTGAACTCCCTCCCCTGACCTTGGCCTCCACCGCATCAATATTACCTGAGAGCTTCAGGAAACCTCAGAGGCCCAGAGACACTTGGGCACAACAGTCACAATCCATAAATCCGAGTTCCTGAGACACACTCTGTTCACAAGCACCAAAGTCCAGAACACACACGAACACACACACACACACACACACACACACATCTGTGAGCACGGACACAGGAAGTCACATCAAACACAGCTACCACCTGTTGGACTTTTGATACAGCTTGTCTCACGAAGGTTAATGTGTTTGAGGCTTGATCTTCGCCATAGCAAAACTGAACGGTAGTGGGGACTAGGAGACACAATAGGACTTAATCCAAAGTAGTTGGGTCAGCGGTTACCTGGGGCCACTGCTCACAAGAGGGATTACAAGGCTTTCCTGGGACCTTGGTTCGTTCCACCGGGAGTGAGTTGTCCTGAAGAAACAGAACAGCTCTGGTTTCTTATCTCACCAAACATTCTTGCCTTTGTGAAGCCATCAGCCAAGAGGCCTTTGCCAGACCTGGAGTGAGGATGGCTCCAGGCCCTATTGCCTAGCCCGAGGTATTTTGTAATAGCAATGGAAAATGGATTAATATGCTGGCTGGCTGCAGACAACTCAACTGTCAGGCCCTTTCTCCAAGGAGGGATGCAAACACTGCCGTGACTGATGATCTCTGATCCGTTTTGGCAGGGAAGCAGCTTTGGGCCTTCTGAAAAGAATGTCCAGGCATGTGGCCCACGTGAGAGCCAGGAAAGAGCCCCGGTTGTCCCTGCTGTCCTGCCCTTGACATAAGGTGATTGGCATCCGGGATGAACATGAGACTCTCTCAAGAATTAAAGACCTCAAGCTTGGACAGCGCTAAAATCTGAGAAACTGCAGGCAATGCTGTGTTGGCCACTGTCCTCCCTGATCGTGTAGGACACCCAAAGCCTTCGTAAAGCCAGGGCAGCCCCGACCTTCTCTCTGCACACCTCAACAGGGCTAAAACACCCCAGGCCAGGCTCTGCCACTCTCCTCAGTCTGACTGAAAGGAATGGTGAGGAAAGAACTCGTAAATCTTCCCTTGATCCTATTTCCTCTTGGGTTTTACTACCACTTACAGACCTCAAATGTTCTTGCACTGAAGTTTCTGTCTCCAGATCCTCAGGGAACAAGATTTAGATTCTCAGAGGCTAAGGCAGAGTTAGCATTAGATTCCTCGCTAGGGAACAAAGAAATAACCATCCTCTCTAAGAAACACCCCAGGGTAGGGGTGGGAGGTAAAACTCGAGGCTCCTGAGCTTAGGGACATCCAGACTCCACTTGAGTGTGGGATTTTCACCAAGACACACATTCATCTTTTTAACAGTCTAAATTGAGAGGTATCCCCAGCTGCCTTGGGGCTTTTATTACCCCTTACCAGCACCACCCCCATGACGATATATCCAACAGCTGTGCTGGGTCACACACAGGCTTGACCTGGAATGACCCAGCATCCTAGTTCCTCTTACCACCACCTGAAGGTGCTAGATCTGATTTGGCTTTTGAATAGAAACAGGGAAAAAAAAAAAACCATATGGGCTACTCATGTGACTCTGCCTGGCCAATATTAATCCTACTTTTATTTTAACCGTTTTTCCTGTCTCCAAGTTCACACTGGGTCTCGGGGCTTGTTTCTTCCTCCCTGTCAAAACAGGTAAACTGTGGCAAAGTGATACCAACACAGCTGTATTCCTAGCAGCATCGGCTACCAACCAGGTCTGGGTGAACCTGCCTGACCTTCAACAGAGCCTAGCCTCCAGGGATCTAATCTGACCTTTTCCTCTGGTAAGAGCCCTACTTTCAGAGGGCTGGCCCACTGCCAGGTGGTGGGATGTGCATTTTCAATGCCCATTCTCTCAAACAGAACTTTAGATTAGCAAGGTGCTTAGCTGATATTACAAATAAACAATGTCCTCCCAAAAGAAAGGGCATTCCCGCTGGGCGATGGCGGCACAGGACTTTAAACCCAGCACTCAGGTTGGCAGAGACAGGCAGGTCTCTGTGAGTTCAAGGCCAGCCTGGTTTACAGAGTGAGTTCTCGGACAGCCAGAGATACAAAGAGAAGTCCTGTTTCAAGAAGAAAAAAAATATTATTTCCAAGTGTTCATTTCTAAAGCTTTCCTTTGAACTCTCTGTTAATAATTAGTGGTGGTGGGAAAAACCCTGTTACCTGGGAGTTACTGGGCATTTAAGCATTCCCTGGGCACTTTGCACACATAATCTCTTTCATCATCACAATAGCTCCAAGAGAGCAGCACTATGACTATCATATCCACCTCACAAAAGGGAAAACAAGGGCTAGTGAAAGAGATGGCACCTGGCACCAGATGTGAACATCTGGGTTCTATCCCTGGGACCCACATGGTAGGAGTAACCTGACTGTAAAAGTTGTCCTCTGATTTCCATATGGACACCATCACACACATGCTGTGGACATCTCTCCCTCTCTCTCTCTCTCTCTCTCTCTCTCTCTCTCTCTCTCCCTCCCTCCCTTCCCCCCTCTCTCTGTCTCTGTCTATCTGTCTGTCTGTCTCTCCCCCCCCTCTCTCTCTCACACACACACACACAAGCAAATAAGTAAAATAAGTAAATATAATTAAAAATGGAAAAACAAGGCTCAGATAAGTAACTGTGGTCAGGCAATAAACCATGTTTAACCAGAATCTAATACTAAGAGTCTAACCACACATTCAAGCAACCCTTATTGGACTTCTGGCTTAGCTCTCAGTTTTGGGAAAGCTTCGATTATTTTTTGCCACTTAAAATAAGCAAACAAACAATAAAACCCTGAAATTGTTAAGGACCCAAATAATTGCAAACCTTGAACAAAATGTCCTTATCTGCAAAGTGGGTGGCAGTGTACCACAGCCTTGGGATCAAGTGTGGGCATAGTAAATATGACTGTGTCTTCATCTAGGATTGCAGAGCAGCTACAGATTAGTCATATTGGTTATAGTGGAAACCAGATGTTAGAGGCTTTTTTTGCTGTTTCTGTTGATTGTTTTGTTGTTTTTATTTTAATTCCACAGAAGCAAGCAGAATAGAATAAAAGTAAAAGCTGGGAGGGGCAGACCCGAAGCTGGCATCGTCTTCCCATGTAGAGACTCCTGCCCCACAAGGGCCTGCTGCACATGAAGCTCTCCCTCTTTCTAGCTAGTGTTATGTGGAAGCACTGACCACTTTCTCCCACCGCGTTGGCGACCTTCATTTTCTCTTCCCTTTACTGTTCTGTGAGCATAATAAGCTCACTCGGGGACTGTGATTCTTTTATCTGATTTCCTGATCATTGTCTGAGCCATAGCAATTGATGAATAAATACTTGTTGAGTGGATCCAATAGAGCCACAAGGTCCTCCTGAGCCCTATCTGGCTCAGCTCTAGAGAAAGGGGTTGGTCTGTATGGTGGTTTGAATGAGAATGCCCCCCATCACCACACACACACACACACACACACACACACACACACACACACACAGATTCATATGTTTAAATACTTGGTCCTTGGTTGGTAAATGGTTGGGCAAGATTGAGAGATACGGCCTTGTTAGAGGAGTTGTGGCTTTGTTAGAGGGGTCTCTCTGTCTCTCTGTCTTTCTGTCTCTCTCTGTCTCTGTCTCTCTCTCTCTCTCACACACACACACACACACTATTGCAGTTCTGAGATATGTACAGTCCGCTGTTCCTGCCACCACGCCTTCACCCCGCTGTCATAAGCTCTAACCTTCTAAAACTAAAGCCCTATTAAATGCTGTCTTCTATGAGTTGCC